CTCAGGCACTCAGGTGAGAGCCATGGCGGGGGGTGCTTCTCCCAGGTTGTCTCTCCAGGTTCCATTTTGAATTTTCTTCTTCTTTTTTTCTTTCTTTCTTTTTTGGTACTGGGGATTGAACCCAGGGTGCTCTCCCACTGAGCTACCTTCCCAGCCCTTTTTATTTTGAGACAGAGTCTTGCTAGGTTTTTTTAGGGCCTCCCTAAGTTGCTGAGACTGACATTGAACTTGGGATGTTCCCGCCTCAGCCACCTGAGTTGCTGAGGCAGGCTTTCTGAGCTTCGTGTTGCTTATCTGTAAAACAAGGATACAAGTCAGACCAACTTGGATGAACTGGGAAAAGAGCATTCAGTGAGGCAAACAGCAAGTGCAAAGGTCCTGAGGTGCAGGAGACTTTTGCCTGCAGTGTGGCCAGCAGGCCTGCACAACTGGAGCAGAGTGAGTGGTAGAGGGGCAGAAGGAGGCAAAGAGGCATCTGGAGGGCTTAGTGTGTTGAGTCTTGTGGACCAGCATGGTATTTGGCATTCACTTGGAATATGGTGAGACATTTTGGAGTAAGATGTCTTTGAAAGGCTTTGAGCAAAGGAGTAACAGAAACTGACTTCAAATATAGAAAACATACCTCTGGCTGCTGTGTGGAGAATAGATCATCGGTGCCAGGTGGGAAATCAAGGACAACAGGGACCTGGCTCCAGTGAGAGGGGCTGTGGTAGTGCCCCAGATGTATTTACATGGCTCTGTAGGTGGAGCATGTGGAGGGGCCGTCAGGAGAGCCTGGGCTCTTGGCCTAAGCAGCCAAGGTGGAGGTGCCCTGGTCTGTGGAGGCAGCAGTGGGCCTATGACTTTGGATCTGTGGCAAGACAGTGCATTGTGGTGATGTGTGGCAGGGGAAGCTGCTCACCTCAGGACCATGGGGACAAGAGGAGAGAGAGGAAGGGGCCAGCTTCCCAATGTCCCTTTCGAGGGCATGCCCACACTGACCTAACTCTTTCTACCAAGTCCCACCTCCTGAAGGTTCCCTACCTCCCAATAGTACCATCAGCTAGGGACCACATCTTCTACACAGGAACCTTTGGGGCACTGAAGATCCAAACCATAACAATCATAAAGATTCATTCCTTTGCCCTTGACCATGGTACCAGGGATTGGACGCAGGGTACATCCCCATACTTATTTTTATCTTGAGACAGGGTCTCGTCTCACTAAGTTGCTGAGGCTGGCCTGGTTTTTTTTTTTTTTTTTTTTTTGGGGGGGGTGGAAGGTACCAGGGATTGAGCTCAGGTCAGTTGACCACTCAGCCACATACCCAGCCCTATTTTGTATTTTATTTAGAGACAGGGTCTCACTGAGTTGCTTAGTGCCTCACTTTTGCTGAAGCTGGCTTTATGTCAGCCTCCGGATCTGCCGATCTGCGGGATTACAGGCATGGGCCACCACCCCTAACCTGGCCTTGAACTTTTGATCCTCCTGCTTCAGCCTCCCAAATTTATGGGATTATAGGAATGGCTACCATGCCTTACTACAATTGATTTTGTATTGATCTTGTACCCTGAAACTTGTTTATTAGTTCTAACATTTTTTTTAAAGTAGATTCCTTCAGATTTTCTATACATTGAGATGTTTTTGCTTCTTCCTTTGTGTTCTGGATGCCTTTTCTTCTTCTTGCCTATTGCCCAGGAATGGACCTTCAAAACAGTATTGAGGGGCTGGGGGGCTGTGACTCAGAGGTACTGCACTTACCTGGCATGTGTGAGGTACAGGGTTCCATTCTCAGCATATAAATAAATAAAATAAAGGTCCATCAACAATTAAAAAAAAAAACACATATTGAGTAGAAGTGTTAAGACCAAGTTAGAGTTGGGCAGGTGGGGTGGGGGGTGCAGCCTGTAGTCCCAGCGACTTGGGAGGCTAACAGGGTGATGGCAAGTTCAAAACCAAACTCAGCAACTTAGTGAGATTCAGTCTCAAAATAAAAAAAGGACTGGGATGTATCTCAGTGCCAAAGAGCCCCAGGTGTTCAATTCCCAGCACCAAAAAAAAAAAAAAAAAATTGTAAAAGATACAAATACTGGGAAGACTATCCCAGAAATATACCCTAGAGCTTTTTAGGAGAATGAAGACAAGAAGTGGGGCTGGGGTTGTGGCTCAGTGGTAAAGTGCTTGCCTAGCACATGTGAGGCACTGGGTTTGATCCTTAGCACCACATAAAAATAAATAAATAAGGGCTGGGGTTGTGGCTCAGTGGTAGAGTGCTCACCTAGCCTGTACAAGGCACTGGGTTCAATCCTCAGCATCACATGAATGTAAAATAAAGATATTGTGTCCACCTAAAACTGAAGAATAAATATTAAAAACAATAATAATAAATAAAAATAAAGTGTTGTGTCGATCTACAACTAACTAAATATATACATATATATATTTAGAATACATATATGTATATAGTATCATAAATATATATTAAAATGTTGAATATATATATATATATATATATATATATATATATATATGTATTTTTTTTTTTTTTAAGGAATAAAAACAAGAAGTAAAGCTTTCAGATCCTGGCCTGATAGCACATCCTGTTATCCTAACAACTTGGAAAGCTGAGGCAGGAAGATTGCAAGTTCATGGCTACCCTTAGCAACTTAGCAAAACCCTGTCTCAAAATAAAAAAAGGCTGGGGATGTGGCTCAGGAGTAGAGTGCCCTAGGTCCAATCCCCAGTGACAAAATAAAAAATAAAATAAGCTGTTGGCCCAAAGGCACAGTTGGCCAGCGGTGCTTCAAGGACAGTGGAAAGTGCCCAAGGGGACTGCCATATACTGGCCTTCTAAGGGGGAGAGACTCAGGAGACCAACCTCTGAGGTCCCTCCTGATTCAGAAACTCAAAGGGCTTGAGTCTCAATAACTTTTTTGTAATTGTCCCAAATTCCATCGAGAAGAGGAGAGGGAGAATCAGCATCTTCTGCTAGAGGCCTTCAAGTTCATGACAAGAGCCCATAATGAGGATAGGTCAGAAAAGGCTCTGGAAGAGCCTGCCCTCCTCAGCCCCAAAGGAAGGCAGGTGCTTGTGCAGAGGCGTGGAAAACAGCAAGTGCTTTGGGACGGCTCGGCTGGGCAGCAAAGGCCCCTTCTGTAGGCGGCCCAGCAGCACCAGTGGGAGGCTCCATAATGAGGCTTGGATTCCCAGCCAGGGAGGGACTCAGCTGGCAGCGTGGGAGGGTGGGATTCTGGAACGCTTTTGTTTCAGGTGTCTCCTTAAATAGTTACCAGGTCCCCATGTGACCTTGAGAAGGCTACTTCTTTCCCACTCTTGGGGGACAGGCAGGTTCCCTGGCAGGCTGGGGCTGCAAAGCCCTGGCCCCTGGGTGGCCATTCCCTTTGCTGACAGTTCCCTCCTGGGGCGCCAGTGCTATTTTGTGCCTCAGCACACTGCAGAGACCCACGGTCCCGCGAGAAAGCCTGTGAGAAAGCCTGGTAGGCAGGAGGAAGGAAACGAGTGGGCTGCCGCCTCTCATTGCCACCAGGGCGTCTTGACACCTCCCTTGTCACAGTTTCGTGGCAACCCCTCCTGCTTAGGGAGGAGGGGGGCAGCACTCCGAGAAGTCAGCCTCTGTTAGGTAACCAGCGTGGTGGCCACGCAGGTATGATGTAATTGTGGAGTCCGCGTAGCTAGGACGATTCTGCCTGCGGTGGTGCTGCAAGTCCCAGGCCTGGTGAGAACGGAATGTTCCCTAGAAGAGGGGCAGGACTGTAGGGCTTCTCGAGCAAAGGAGCCCGATCCAAACAGGCCCTTGATGACTTGAGCTTCTTTCTAGAAGCTTATTTTTATTTTCAGGAATAGAGGTTGTGCTGGCTAAGGACACAACCCCAGGAAGGTGAGAGGGTGGGTGGCAGTGTATTTCCCTTAGCACCACCTTGGCTCCTGGTGAGAATGAAGGCACATCTTTGTGATGTCATTGCATTAAGCCCTCCTTCTGCAGCACTGCCCCAATGCTGGCTGCCTCCTCCCCTCCTGTGGCAGGGATGTCAGGAGGGGACCCCCTCCATGGGGTGGACCAGGATGGCCAACACTGTGCCAACTCTGGTCCCTGTGCCAGAGGCCTTGCTGTGTACCTCCCATACCAGCTCACCCTTGGGTGGCCTTTTGGGTCCCTGACTTTCTGATCCGCCCCCTCTGGGGAGAATTTCTTTGGTAACACAGGCGAAAAGTATGTCAGAAAGGCCCCGGGCAGCCCGACTGTCAGTGTTCGGGCACAACACAGAACCACCCTTTATAAAAGGGGGAGAGAGCAGGGGGACCCTGGGACAGGGAGGAACCTACGAGTCACCTCACTTTTTGACGGGTGGGGGAGCAGGGTAGCATTCCAAGCTCTTTGCCCCCTCCCTGCCTTTCTGGCCGCCTGTCAGAGCCTGTCTTATAACAAGACAAAGGAATGATTTCATGAGTATCTGGACCCGAATCTCAAATTCAGGATTAAGAAAAATAACAAGGCTTGTGGGCATTATATATCTTGTTCAGCCAGAAAAAACAACAGGCTGAGAAGGGCTGGCCAAGCTCCTTTGAGCAGGTGTCGGGTTTGGGCAAAGGATAAGCTCTTGCAAAGAAGGGAGGCTGTTCAAGTCATAATGGGCAAGATCCTCCAACGCGATCAGGACCTGAGTCTAGAGAATAAAGGGGGGGAACTCCCAAGTGGCTCCCCAACTTTGGTTACTTTGGAGCAAGGGTGTGAGACCTGGGTCCTGGTCATGGCTCACCTCTTAGCGGTGGAACCTTGAGTGAGCCTCTGAGCTCACTCCTGCATCCCTGCAGCAGGGTTGCTGGCTCCGTCTGCTGGCCAGGCTGCAGGGCAGACCAGAGGTAAGCACTTTGTATTCAGCAGGTGCCACAGTACTGGAGGCAGGGGGACTGGGGCGGGTGGTTCCCGCAGCCTTCCTGCCTCGTCCTGCTTGCAGCCAACACTAGAAGCCTATCAGCAGTTCTTGTCCCCTGGTCTGTAGGTGCCGAGGATGTGGTGATGGCGTTTTCCAGGTCGGAGACGGAGGACCGGAGGCAATAGCTGTAAACTCCTTGGAACACCCTGGAAGCTGTCAAGGGCCAAGAGATCTGTGTGGCTCCTGGGCTGGCTGAGTGGCAGCAGACCACCATCCCTCCCTCCCCCTACTCCTACCCCTCAGCCCCCCAACAGCCATTGCCACAGCCGATCAGCAGGGCTGGCATCAAGGGAGACACCAGTGGTGCGTTTTCATTTGGCTTAAAGGGATGGACTCATGATTGGCTTCAGGAAGAAACCTTTTTATTTTTAAACCTTGACCAATGGAAACCTTTTATTTTTATTTCTGACTCTTATTTTTTAAAAAATTTGCGCCTCGGTATCAGGCTTCCTAGGAAGCTCTCCGAGCTCTGGTGCTTTATTTAGGTCATATTTTAGGAATGTGAAGAGGCCCAATTGGCTGCTTAAACTGGAAAAGGATTATGATTGGCTGACAGTGGGAAATGGTCTTTTCTTTGATTGGCTGCAGGTGTCCTGCTGGTATCAACAGCTTCTTTATTCTCAATGCAGAAAACAGGGTTTGGGACATTGGTTGTTATATTTGACTTGAAAAAAAAAAAAAAAAGAAAGAAACCAAATGCGCTTTGCAATGTTTATTACACAAACAGCTTGCTGCTGCTCTCATATTTTGGGTTTGTATTTGAATTAGATTGGCTTGCCCATGACTCCTGTTGCCATAGAGGGGGCTGGAGTCCACCTTAGATTACATTTGCTTTAATGACCACCTGCCTCTACTAGCACAGGGATCCTCAGGACCCCGAGCAGGATCCACAGTGGAAAATAGGGCCCCAAAGGAGCTTGGTGTTGTTCTGTTCCAGCAACCCAGAACCTGGGTGAATAGGAGGCAGGACTTATAAGCATTACTTACATGAGTTGGAACAAGCCAGTTTCCCTCAGTGGGCATGGTCTCACATGCTGTGCAGGAAATGTCTCAGTGGTAGTGTGCTTGCCTGGCACAGGTGAGGCCCTGGGTTCAATTCTCAGTACTGTAAGGAAAAAAAGAAAGAAAGAAATCTGTGCAGCCTCTCCTGGCCAGCCATGCTAAGCAGAAGAGCACTGGGCTAGGCAACTCACCCATCTGCCATCCCTGCATGTCCCCCTTCTCGAGGCCTTATCTTGGGCCTTCTCCCAGAAAGGAAAGGTAATATTCTCAGCTGTGAGAATCCATAGGTCATCTAGCTGGGGTCTCTTCCCAGGAGCCCAGAACACAGAGGATAGCCCCAGGTTGGCTCCCAAGGCCTCGGAGGACACGCTTGTGCCATCTTTCCCTTCCCAGGGCATGGGGCACTGTGTATCATGGAGCATGCACCAACCCGTCCCTGGCTGACTCTGGGCAGCGGTGTCTACAGTGTCGCACACACGCACACCATCACGCTTGTTCTGCGAGGATTTGAATGATACCAGTAAGACCCCTGTCCTCCTGCGAGTCCACGGACCCCACAGGATGAGGACAGTGGGGAATACGGATGTAGCTGCAGCAATCGCAGCAAGGGCCTGAGGGTGTCTGCCCTCAGGAGGAGCAGTGTGCGAGAGCACGGGCACTCTCGTGCACACGCTCATTCACACACTCCCAGCTCACTGGCCTGGAGCTCTAGCTGTGCCACTGAGGAAAGGGCTTCTTCAGTCCCTACCTCACCCCAGGTTTTAGCATGTGGAATCGGGTGTTGCCAGCTGCCCCTCTCGGCTCCCATCCAGGGCCAGAGCTCTCTGCTCCACCCAGTCCTTGTCATAATCGCAGCTCATTCTTTTTTTGTTGATGTTGTTGTTTGGCTGGGGTGCCTAACCACTGAGCCACATCCCCAGTCTTTTTTATTTTTTTGTTTTTTAAATTTTATTATTTAAGTTGCTTTGGGCCTCTCTAAGTTGCTGAGGCTGGCCTCAAACTTGCAATCCTCCTGCCTCAGCCTTCCAAGAGGCTGGGATTACAAGTGTGCATCACTTTACATGGTTCAATTCTCACTCTTATAACAGTAACAACCCTGGCCTGGCTCATCTTCTGAAGAAGAAAAGTCCTAGTGTTGCTGTGACTTCATATTTCAACTAAAAAATATATCTGTTAGAGAAAAAATAACAGTAAAGATCTTTCATAGCTTGGCGAATTAGCTGCTATTTCTCCCTCTGAATCCTTGCTTTGATGGGTTCCACTGGGGCCTCCTCCAGGGAGGCACAGGGAGGGATGACAGCAACACCACGAGTTGGATGACTCTGGCCTGGATGGGAGGTCAAGGTGTGCAAAGATTTCCAGGTCAGCCCAGCCCAGCCTGAGCCTCAGGAAGGGTGAGCCCCAGAGATTGGAGATTCTGGGTATCTTCCTGATCAGACCCAAGTCAGTGATCTTTGGGGTCACCTTGCCATTTCATGCTTTGAACAGACCCTAAGCATGCCATCAAGGTGTGAGGACCCTGCAGATGTAGACACCCCAGCGTCCAGATGCACTGGCCTTGGAAGTCTAAAGACAAAAGTCCAGAGAGAATAGCCGACCCTCCTGTTCTCCTGCAGAGGAGGAAACATGCTGATACTCAGCTGCAAATTCAAGTTTGGAAGCTGAAATCATTTCTGCGTCAGGAGTTTTTGCTTGGAAAGCACTTTCTAGAGATTTCCATTTCCACCCTTCATAATCCCATTTTAGATTTTTTCCCCCCTGTTTATGTGAACTCACCACTTATATTTCCTTTTCAAAAAATTTCTCTGGGTCCTAGATTCTGTGGGGTTTTAAGAATATGGACAGGGATAGCACAAATCACATCATTAAATCTTGGTGTTGAGCTGGGCCTCAGGAGGCTGAGTCTGAAGCAGGAGGAGGAGGATGGCTTGAACCCAGGAGTTCAAGGCCAGCCTGGGCAACACAGCATGGCCCCATCTCAAAAAACAAAAACAAAACCCAACAACTTGGTGCTTATCTTATACCATGTGGCAGCCCACAGCCCACACACGGGGCAAATGCATGAATCCCCTCTGAGAAGGGCTTGTCCAGGCTTTGCTCAATCCCCTCTAGGGCTGGAAACTTACTACCTCACAAGTGAGCCATTTCGTCTCCAGGTAACTTACGTTCATCTTTATATTGAATTGGTCTGTCTTTGTATCGCTCTTGTTCAGAAAGGAGTTTATAGTCATTGCAAGAAAGACAAATAAAGGTAGCTATTATGTCAGCTAAAAATTGCATAGAGGTGTATATTCAAGGGCCTGTGCTAGGTAATTTACATGTGGACTCCACCCCTCCCCGGTATTCTGAGAGACACTGCTCAGAGGAGAGACTGGCTCACATGGCCCGGCCTGCCCAGCCTCTACAGAGTCAGACGGGCTGGGAAGGAATCATCGCCCGGAGCTGTCTAATCTGTGGGGTCTTTAATGGGAAGTAGGAGATGGAAGAGGAGATGGGAACACTTCCGGAGGCGATGGGTAAACATTGGGGACAGCATTGGGTCTTTCAGGGTCCATCAGCCTACACAGCAGGCACCCTTCTGTGTCTGCCTTCCTGGGCACAGGTGTACATGGCTGGTAATGACCCTAAGGGGCTGGATTGCAACTGCCGAGGCAGGACGGAGGGATGGCGGGTGGCAATGTGGCCAGGCTGAGCTTAGGGGAGGTCTGGGCTGGGGCAGGAAGGCAGAGCACTGTCTTTTGTTGATGTTTCCCAAGCCTGGGAAGGAGGGCGGCTGAGAATGAATGGAGCCTTCTCTGTCTCCTCAGGTGAATGGCAGCTGTGAGCATCCAGGCTGCTCCTGGCCGCCTTTGAACGGGGCCTTTGTCTCAGGGAAACTGATCTCTCTGTGGCACCTGGTTCTGTTAGTTGGGGCAGGAGCCAACTTCCTGCTGGGGCAGCTCTGAGCCCCAGGGGACCTCAGCACCACACCTCTGCCCCTCCTGTGTGGGTGGGTCCTCTCTGGGGGCTGCTCCCGGCCACCACTCCTTCCCCTCTCCCCACCCTCTGGGCCATGTTAGAAGGGATCACACCACCCTGGCTGTCCATTGGAGGAACTCCACCTTCTGGGAGACAGAGGGGGTGTGGTGGGGGGGTGGCGGCTAGGCCTCCTCAGGGGACAAGGGCAATGAAATAAATGTCAGCCATTGTCTTGCCTTCCCTGCCCCCCACCCCCATAATGGAACTACCCCCTCCTGGATGCTTCCAGAGGGCTGCAGTGCTGTGCCAGCCCTGCCTTGTGGGCCAGTCAGAAGAGCCACCAACGCAAGCCACGCCCCACCCTGCCAGCACGTCTTCCTGGGTCCTCAGGGAAAGAGGAATGTAGCAACAGGAGGCCATCCCTGTTTGCACACGTGGGAGCCACACCCCACTCTGCACAGCCCCAGGAGGTGACTTCAGACCCAGAGCCTCTTAACCCTTTCCACTTCCCACCAGGTGTGGCGAGGCACTCTGTAATCACAGTGACTCAGAGGCTGGAGTAGGAAGATCTCAAGTTCAGGGCCAGTGTCAGCAAGTTAGTGAAACCCTGCCTTCAAAATAAAGTTAAAAAGGGCTGGGGATGTGGCTCAGTAGTAAAGCACCCCTGAATTTGATCCCCGAATTTCTTGTGTTAGAAACTTAATCCTCAAGTTCATGTCATTGGTAATTGGAGAGCGGCCTTTGGGAGGTCATTAGCCTTAGAGGAATTCATGAGGGTGAGCCCCTATGATGGCATTAGTGGCTTTATGAAAAGAGGAAAGCAGACCCGAGCTAACACACATGGTATGTCTTACCATGTGATACCCTCCACCATGTAAAATGCAAGAAGGCGGCCCACACCAGATGCTAGCACCATGCTCTTGAACTTCACAGCCTCCAGAATTGTGAGCCAAATAAATCTCTTTTCTTTATAAATTATCCAGTCTCAGATGTTTTGTTATAGCAACAAAAAATAGACTAAGACAACAGATATCTCCATGTCTTGGTATTAATAATACAGCCAGTGCCACCTGTGTATAAGTGTGTAGCACTTGGCATATGTCATCCTAAGTCATGGATCAGGTGAGTCAAGGTGAGTATGTCTTGGGCTGTCCACCATGGCAATCTGAGTGTCCATCCTGACTCCAGTTCCTCACCTTTCACACTTACCATGCAGCCTGGCAGTCTGCCTCCAAGCTAAGCTGGTTTGGGTGTAAGTTCCTCTACCACTTTAAGTCTTCTAGATTTATCCTGTTTGCTCTCACAGAATAGATCTTTATGTCCACGTGGCTGAGGGGTGGGGAGACATTATGGTTTAGAGTGAGAGCCCTGGAGACTGACCAGCAGGGTAGAAACCTGGATCTGCCACTTGGCAGCTGTGTGACTGGGGCAGATGATGTAAC